AAAGGGTTATTAATCTGGAGGAAAGCCGTCGTGTGTTTGGGAGTCTGTCAGGTATAAACCTGCTGGCACACCGAACTCAGATTAGTAGGGTTCCCTGGCTAGAGCACGTATTGCGTATGCCCAGCCATCGTCTGCCGCACCACGCTTTATTCGCTGTGGCTAATCCGGGCTGGAGGAAACCACGTGGAGGTCAAAAGATGACGTGGAAACGAGGCATGAAGAAATGCTCAGAACCCTTAGGTAGAGTAGGTGTCACGCGCCTTCCAAGTTGGGGTCCGAAAGACTCCACAACCGACTGGTTGGAGACATTGAAGGATATGGCAGCGAACCGATAGAGATGGCATTCTTGTTGTCATTCCTTATCAGGCCAAAACGCTTGAGACGGTAGGTATGCAGAGTTCGACTGTGCACTCTGTGTGCTGACCACAGTGGTTCACCTTCTTCTCCCTCGCTCAATGTAATTCCTATCCCTGTCCACCTTAAATTTTACCACTAACCTTGTATGCATTGCGAGTTTGGGGGCGATCAGTGAAGTTCGCCTCACTGTATTTCGTTGTACGACAATGCTGATGATGATGAAAATGAAAACAAAAAATGATTGTGAACGATACAAACAAATGACGACAAAATATTCATTCATCCATCATAGTTGCATAACGTTGAAGTATGGTGACGATTAGAAAATGCATGATACACCAATCAAATTTCACATAGTCCGAAAAACCGCATCCTAACTTACGTAAAGCCAGCAATTGTTCGGTCAGTTGATTTGATTTCGCTTCACCACTGGCGCCTGTGATAGTTTGCTGGGATATCAACGGGGCCACCACATTGTTCTGCCATTCGGCTGCGGTTTCGGCCAGGTTACGATGAAATGCAAATGACAATCGGTTTAAATAGACCAACTGATTGCCTTCTTGTCGCACACCACGAGTCAGCGCACGAGACATTACATTGGATCGATAGACCAAGAACAGCTGTGCAGCCAGAGTGGATTTGCCCAGTGCACCCAGATGGCTAACCGCGGCATGGATCGTTCTAGGGGCACCTGAAGCGGAAGACAAATAAAAGAACACCCAATGGACAATGTGTTGAATCCAATTCTGACGGCTACTAGAACAAAACATTCCGCCGGATAGGTCACTAGAGCAACAACCATTATCATCTGTTAGGTGCGTTCTACGAGAGTAGCTTGGACCAACCACATTTAATCGCTTCACGGCAGTGTTCGGTTTTGGGGAATGACGTCAAAAAAAAAACAGGAAAATGGTTACAGTAGATAAGACAGGAAACGAACTTTTGTTAACCAGTAATTCTGTACGAAAGGAATTTGTTGTTAATCATTTCTAGTATTGTTGCCTTCGTTACAGAGTTAGCTTCTTTCTCGTATTTTTCATCTTAGACTCGAATTTTACGCACGACTCTAGAACAGATTTTTGTGGCAGTTGTGTAGGTTGAACAGCAATCCCCAGGAAGACATTTTCCCATTCCGTTATCTCTTCCTCTCTACGTATTTCTATGTCCCATGCACGCATGTGAATTTTTGTTTGACAGAGGAACGGGAAAATAACATTGCGAATTGAACGTCAACAGTGTGTGATGCATCGAACCGCCAGGGAAGACAGAAGAGAGAGGAGAATCGATCAAGACCACAGGAAAACTTGTTTCATAAATTTTTGAATATTTATGAAATATGTCTCTGGCCGTCCACTCTCGTTCGTTAGCGTGATCATCGACTGTGAACAGCACAAGTTTACGCATTTTCAGCTGCACAGACGCTTGAATTCTCTGATGACTACTGGTCTGAGTTTCACCCTAAAGGCGCTACCTTTGGGCGAGATAATAGCAGAACTGATACTGCAGAGATTGAACGCCCAAAAAGCATTTGCATGTGGGACACGTAGGAGTGCGTCAGTACAATCGGCTAGTGTATGAGCTTGATTAGCAGTTTACACAGTGGATATGCAAACTGGATCAGAACAAATGGTCGACCGATCGCAGGTACACAGATCACCAGGGGGGCGATAAAAAAATATCGGGTATACTTACTTACCATGCCTTTCAGCCGCTGTAATTAGTTCCTGTTCAAGAGCTTCGGCCAAACTTTTCTGGTTGTTTGCAATACGTTTGGACAGAGCTTCCCAGGCCGAACGAGGCTTGGAGTCCACCATGAACGTATCCTCCGTCCCCCGTTCACCTTTACTACCAGATGTACCTGTCGGCTGCGGTCGGGTTGAATTGTTAGTCGGTCTGGCTGCCTGCCGTGTACTGTGCACATCGTAACTCACCAGAATACGATCCAGCTCTCGTTGTGCTTTCACAATCAGCTCGGTGGCTCTAGAGAAATCGCGTTCAGAAATAGCCACGTCCAAATCTTCCGGGACAGCCCACAACCAATCACGCGGGTTTCGGGTAGATGTTGTAGTAGGTACAGTAGTTGCCCCAGTTGCATCGGTTTGCTCTGTGACGATTGTAATGGTGGCTGGAACCCAAATGGACGGGGAAAGAAACAACGGGAATCATACGGAAGATAAATCAATTAGGGTTTTTTATACCAATAAAATGATAAAACCAATAGGCAAACAATGTACGAACCGGATAGCAGAAAATAGACTGTAGGAATGAAAAACACTAAAGATCAAATGAGCATATATAACATTGCCTTGGAATAAACAATCATAAGACAAATCGCAGCACATTAAATTTATTCAAACGCACTAAGAATCGAAACGGAATTCCGAACAACAACAACGATCGTTTGCATTCTCAGCTACCAAGGGAAGCAGAGTAAATGGGGAGCAGGAATGATGTATATATCAACCAAAAAAAGCTTGGTAGAACGAAGCACCATTGTAAGTTTACCAATGACCGGTTACCTCTATTCTAAAACTGGTAGCACATACCGATTGCGGACCTACACAAGCAATTATACTGTTATAGCCAAGGCTTTGTTGTATATCGGATTGCATTTGTAACACTAAATAGATCAAACTATAACCTGGAGTCAGTGAATTAAAACCTTGCAAAGGGAAGTCAATTGCTTAGGTCTCATTCTAGCTCGTGCATAAACTGAACGATGATTAAAGACCTTGTGCTAAAGTCGAGTGTGGCAAACAATGGCGCTAAGGAGTTTACTTACAGTCTACGTGAATCTGTATCGTCAACTAAAAGTCGCTCTGGGCTTTTTTAATTCCTTTATTCACTGCTTCTTCATTGATGGTCCATACATGTGGACAAAGACAGTAATGCAAACTGATGTATTAAAGCGAAAGATTATTAATGATCGTCTAAACCAAAACTGATTCTAAGCATTCAATGGTTCAACACGATTGGTA